CTTAAATTGCTATTCTGTCTCATAAACTCAGAATTATAGCCATGTTGTTCCTTTTAGATATGTTTTCAAACTTTACTGACTTTGGAGAACAGACTGTATTTGTCTTTCTCAACAAATACTTATCACTGAAGAACTATAAAATATATCTTTTCTTCAACTTTGAATCTCCATACTAACTGCATGTGGGTAAAAATCAACAAGAGGAAAAATCCTGTAAAATACCTGCCACCAAAACATGTCAGTAATTTTTGTTGCGTTTGTTACTTAAAAGACATAATTTAGTTTTCTTCTTTTTTTTTTAATGTGGTAAAATATAAAAATATCAAGTTTGCCATTTTAACCATTTTTAAGCATACAATCCAGTGGCATTAATCACATTCACTGTTTCCAAACCTTTTCATCACCCCAAACAGAAACTCTGTACCTATTGAGCAGTAACTCCTAATTCCCTACCCCTCTAGCTCCTGGTAACCACTAATTTGTTCCTCTGCATTGTCTCTTGTAGATATGTCATATAAGTGGGATCATACTATATTCATCCTCTTGTGTCTGACTAATTTTGCTCAGCATAATGTTTTCAAAGTTTATCCATGTTGTGGCATGTATCATTTCTCTTTATGGCTGAATAATATTCCATTGTATGGATGTACCGCATTCTATTTCTCTTTCACCTGTTGATGGACACTTGTGTTGTTTCCACCATTTGTCTCTGATGAACAACGCTGCGTAATTTACTCTTGAGCATGACTTGAGACAGTGAGACAGGAAAGACCTCAGTCTCAATGCCTGCTAGTGTCTATCTTAAGCACCCGTGGGGGAACAACGTGCAAACTTTCTCTTGATTATGCTGCCTTAGGGCTTCTTTAGGATGAAAAGAAAAGCCTATTCTGGGAGACGGACACTTACCCTGCCTTTTTAATGCAGAAGCAACCACAGGCTTTTTCAGGGCACTTTTCCTTAGATTACTGCTCACTGCATCTTGAGGCAACAGTGAACTGTTCGTCTGTGCACCTAAACCATAAATAATTACAGCATTTAATAACATTTCTGCATAATATAAATTGATTGGATACTAATTTCCAAAAAGCCTACCTAAAACATATAAACAGTCTTTGCTAATTTCTAGGTTAGCGTCTCAGTTTCTAGAAGGAATTAGCATTAGCCTATATACACAAAATTTTAAGTTTCTTATACTCTTTGTAAGAAATTGGCGGGGGAGGGGGGGAACAGAAGTAAAAGGAAGAAAAAATATTCATCCATCATTCCCACGTCTCAGACAATCATTATTAATTTTCTGGTAAGCTGTCTTCCATTTTCTTTTCTATGAATAAATTGTTTTGCTGGTTTTGTGATTTTAAATAGCTGTGATTTTACTAAAGTTGCCAGATTTTCCAAAACAAAATTCAAATTAAAAGAAATTTTCAGATAAACAAAATAATTTGTTAGTATATGTTCCACAAATTGTATAGGAGATATTTATACTAAAAAATTATTCTTTCTCTGATATTCAAATTTAACTGAGCATTCTGTATTTTGTATGGCCACCGTACTGATCTAAACATTTTTCCAAATTTGTCCTAACCATTATTTAAGCTGCCTGACATTCTATCAAGTGGCTTTACCATGGTTCATTTAACTACTCTCCGGTGGTTGAGCTTTCAGTGTTTCTAATTTTCCAATATTACAAATGACCATAAAATGAACAGCTCTGGACAAAACACTTCTTCTCTACTAAAGATTATTTCCTTAAAATTAGAAGTAGAACTACTGAGTCAGAAGATAAGTTTTTTTGCTTATTTGTTTGGTTTGGTTTGGTTTACAATTTCAAATTTTCCTGGGAAAAACCAAAAAGGAAGGATTTAACAACAATCTCTGCTCTACATTGCTGCCGGAATTACCTTTCTAAAATACAGAAATGAACATTACACTTTGTTTCTCAAAATTCTTTCTCCAACTCCCCAGCGGCAAAACTTCTGTGCGTGACCACCTCATCCACCTCCAGCAATACTCCCTATGGGTAGGAACATTTTTAAGGTTCTTAACGGGTACTGCAGAGCCCCTGGGTGGCGCAAATGGTTAACACCCAGTGGTGCCTCAGAAGAAAGGCCTGGTGCTACGTCTGGAAAACCAGTCATCAAAAACGCTGTGGGGTGCAGTTCTACTCTGACACACATGGGGTCACCATGAGTCAAAATCAACTCGACTAGTAGTGGTGGAGGAATAGATATTGCAAACTACTTTTACAAATGGTTATAGCAACTTACACTATGTTAGCAATGCCAGAGAGCCCTGATTTGACCTTTGCCTGTGGTATCACCACCTTAAAAATCTTTGCTAACTTGGTAGCAAAAAGTATCTTGCTTTACTTTTGCATTTCTAAAATGTTTGCATTTCTCTGTTCACCAGTGAGTTTAAATATTTTTTTCCCGCATGTATGGACCAAGTAATATTTTCATTTTGTTTAGAGTCTAGGTCTTTTGACCCTTATTTACTAGGGTGTCTCAGCATTTTAACATTGATTTACGTAGGTTCTTAACTGACACTAAGTATTTGAATTTCTAAAAAACCGTATCTATATGTATGGTGGAAACCCTGGTGGCGTAGTAGTTAAGAGCTATGGCTGCTAACCTAAAAGGTCGGCAGTTTGAATCCAGCAGGTGCTCCCTGGAAACTTTATGGGCAGTTCTACTCTGTCCTATGGGGTCGCTATGAGTTGGAATTGACTCGATGGCAACTGGTTTGGTTTTTTTGGTTTTCACATATGTGGTACCACATGCTGAAAACTGTACTCCTAAATTTGTGTGGAAAATATAATTAACCATTGTCACAAATTCTTTTGAAATCCTCTGGATAAAAACTTCAAAATACTGCCCTAAGACAGATTAAGGGGTAAGAGTAGTCTGAATGTTTAAGGGATGAACAAACATATACAACAACAAAAATGAAGTTTGGGTGGATCTTATTTTGGCCATAACCAACTATTAGCTTGACTTGAAAAGGGAAAAACTTCTTTCAGGAAAAAAGCCTACGAGCTATTTCTTGTAATTGCTGGGACTTACTTAGAGAAACACAGTAAAACAACATCTAAAGACAACACCACCACAAACAAACAAAGAGCCTCTCACCAGATACTTCATCCTTTTTCCTCTTCTTTGGCTTCGAGGCAGTAGACTCACCAGCTGATACCACTGATTCTGAATGGCAACCTAACTGGGGCACAATAATCTCTTTAAGACCTGAAACATAACAGATTTCTGAATTATTAATACTATCCAAGAGTATGTATGGGCTCTTACTTAGAGAAAAATTAATTTATCACAATCCAAATTCCCAAAACAAATTATGGACTGACTGCCTGCTTTAAAATAAGTTCCTCTTAAGAACTCCCCGGAACATATGTCTTTGTTCATAGACTGTCATGGATTGAATTGTGTCCTCCAAAAATATCTGTCAGCTTGCTTGGGTCATGATTCCCAGCACTGTATAGCTGTGTAATCTGATGTGATTTCCTTATGTGTTATAAATTCAATCACTATGATCCAATAAAATGGATTAGCGGCAGTTATACTGATGAGGTATACAAGATTGGATAGTGTCTTAAGCCAATCTCTTTTGAGATATAAAAGAGAGAAGTGAGCAGAGACACATGGATACCTCATACCACCAAGAAAGCAGTGCCGGGAGCAGAGCACATCCTTTGGACCAGAGGTTCCTGTGCAGAGAAGCTCCTAGACCAACGGAAGACTGGTGACATGCACCTTCCTCCAGAGTCGACAGAGAAAGCATTCCCCTGGAGCTGACGCCCTGAATTTGGACTTGTAGCCCACTGGACTGTGAGAGAATAAACTTCTCTTTGTTAACACCATCCACTTGTGGTATCTCTGTTATAGCAGCACTAGATGACTAAGACATGGACCATTAACTTGACAGAAGGCTTCACAGAGAAATATAACACTTAAACAGTTGGGAGCTACTGCCAACTAAAGACCATTAAGAAATGAATAGAAAAAACACCTCCAAGATAAAAATATGTCAACAACAAAAGACTTGATGTAGAAACTTTTAAAGATTCTCTTTTGAGCAAGGTACTAGTTTTCTACATTTTTGAAGATAAGAAACAAGCAAGACAACACAGATTTGGGGTTGTTCTTTGTTTTTAATAACACAGGATATCTGTGGAAGAGTAAAAATTCAAAGCAAAGCTAACTTTGCTAGATTGTCTCAATGAAAATGCCTCAGTCTCTTGATCATTAATTTCAACCAATCAACCAACCAATCTTTATGCAAGTGTGCTGGCTGGGATTAAAAGAAGGAATGCTTTTCATTTTAATTATCCAGCAACTGCTTTGAAGATGGTGGGACAATCTCCAAATGCTATCAGTGGAACTCTTTCATTACCATTTTTTAAAAAATAAAGTAATTGTGTCAACCATACCACCTACCGCTAGAATCAAAATTGAGGAAGTCTGAGAATTCCTGAGCCAATGTCTCGTCACTGGCAAAGGCACAGATGCAAGCAAAGAAATGAATGCATCTCTGGGCTGCCTCGTCCTTGGAGGCATTTGACTTGTGTGATTTCAGAGTCTGGCAGGAGCAGAAGAAGCGGCGCTCAGGCAAGCTTTTCGCACTGATTTTCTGCACAAAGGATGCATGCAAATATCCCAAACTATGCTTCTGGCTTGCCTTGCATTTCACCACCAAAATGTTTTTAGTAATTCTCTGTACTAGTGGACCCGTGGGTTCTGTGGCCAACTGCCAGATGGTTTGTTTGGTTTCTGGGGAGGCCTGCATCGCGTTCAGGACAGAACTCTTCAGAGTCAGAGGGGTGGCCTCTGCCTGGCAGTTCACTGCCAGCTTGATGTGCTGGCACTGGTTTTCCACAACGCCTTGGGTAGCAGCTTTCAGGCATGAGGGGACGTAACATCGTCCAGAGCTCAACTGAGTGATGATTGTCCCCTCCACTGTCTGGATTGTCGTTTCTGAAACACCTAGCTCCACAAAGCATCGGTAATCCGGGCCTCGGTCCCTTTGCCGCACTGAGTAGACCTGCAGGTCAGAGCCTGTGATGATTTTGACAGCTTCAACACTAGGCTGCTTCCGTGCTCCATAGCGGAAAATAGTCCCACATGTCTTGTTCTTACAGCTCAGTCCCCGGGTTCCATTGTATGTGCCACACCGAGGACACTTTCTGATTCCTCTCAATGTGGCCTTCCCCAAGTCAGATAAGAAAGCCGGGACTTTAGTCCTCAGAGAGTTTGGTTCCATTTTTCACAGGCCCTGTAAAAAGCAGTAAGCCTGTCAGCATGAGTATACATTCACACACAAAAAGTTAAAATCACTTGTGATATTTAGTACAGAAAGTGAAACGTAAAAACACTACCCACCGTTTTCAAACTGTACGTTCTAACAGAG